AAAAAAAACTGGAAAAAGATCAATATTATATTAAATTTTGTTTATAGATTTAATTTAGCAAAACAATTGGTGTCGCAAATTTTATTTGCCTTTGAATCAAAATTAATGGCATAACTCCTAGTGAACACTATTGAATTATCTCAAGCTTATCCTTTATCAACTTTACAAATATACATTATGGAAATTATGATTGGTCTTGGTAAGTTTTACTTAACATAAATGTATGGTAGAAATAAAAAAAAAGGTTCTCTAACTGAAATTCCACGACCTTCTCGATGAACGGTTTGCTCTCGTTAGCGCAAGATAATTGGTCAAAGACCATCACTTATCGGTTTTCCGTGTGATACCCGAAATTCCACGTAGGCGGCGGCCTATGGGAACTTCTCCCGGGTGCTTGTCTTACATGAGACGGCAACTCTTTGTGCAGTGCGCTTTTATCTAAACAGAAGCGCGCCGCCGTTTAGAGCCTTTGATTGTTTTGTGTTGTTGATGTCTTCGCCAATTATACGCAGGAATTAAGACGCACCCTTGGTGGTCTGTTTTTAGCCTACTGTTCAGGAGTGATCTTTTACAGGCGCCAACTCAACTCACACTTTGTTTCCGAAGTCTGGTCCACAATTGCCAATCAACAATGCCGTCAATTTGTTATGTTAAAAACAAATGGTGGTGGTACATCAGTTTATCAACATGTTGACAATATTGTATTAGGAACTCTGTCCTCATTGGTTTGGTTTGGCTTTTAGTTCTGTTTGTTTTTTCGAACATGAACCAGGCCAATTGGTCACGATTCAGCTACATCAATTATTTGAAAAAAATTACTTATCGAGATTACATCACATCGTCGAGGCTCACTTAACCCATATTATCCCAAGCATAAAAATACATCACATGTGTCAAAAAAAAAAATAAAAACTCGAATCATACAAAAAAAATATGGTGCGCAAACGAACCACTGAGAAAAAACATTAAATAATGGTTTGAGGCACATAAGATGATAATTTATACATAAACATACAAAAGAAAGTTCAAATTCGACAGAAAACAACTAAAAGTATATTGTTTTCCAAATGGAACCTGATTTGATACAAAAAAACGCATAATATTTTATGGTGCGTGAGCGCACCACCGGTAACACCCGGTTTCATTTTTGGTGATATTTTACAAAGCATGAAGTATGTAAATGCACATTACACTTATTACAAACGCAAATTGGGTGGCAGTGGCAGATTCTACATCCCCTTCGGGCTTTATTAGCATGAACAATCATGAGGTGACCTTGATTATCATAACGCCCTTCATCTATGGCAGGTGCAAGATTTCTTTGAGTAATTGTTTTATCATTTTTTAAAAGTCGCAAAGCAATATCAGATTTAAAATCAAATCAATCACTTCGTCATCAAAAAACATAAAAAATATTTCAAGCGGAGTGTTTCCCGAAAGCCTATTTTTTAGTTCCTCGCATGATCTAAATTCATCGGATATAGGTGTGTGAGTGTACTCAATGTGACAGTAGAAGCAAGCCTGTCGTTTGCAGAAAACATACGTCTTCTTTTGAATTCCAGGGTTTCATCATCTGATAAATCCCATTCAGGTTCAGTATTTGATGAATTACAGGACTGTTGAAGGACAGTTGTATCGTTCGGTGTATGTTACTCGAAAGTTCCAACTATATCAGTTGGTTCCCCAACCTCTTGTAGATTTGTGTTATCGTTCATATCTTCTTCGTCAATCAAGGTATCCACGTCGAGTGGAATATAGACCACATCAATATGTTAAATATTGTATGTAAATATGTAAATATTTTTTCACATTATTTTTTGCATAAATTTACAAGGACTAGAATGCTACAATACTTAAGAATACGTAAATCCAAATAATACTTACGAGTTTCATTGTTATTGTCCTCATCCATCACGCTCTCTTCCATAGCCGTCTCTAATTCCTTTTGAGTCAAATACCTCGAAAATGCCATATTTTACGAACTTTAACGTTCACTGCACAAGGCACAAACTAATACTAAAAAACGCGTTAATTGTTGGATGTTTATTCTACATGCGCTGACTTGTCTAAACTTGCAATAACAAAGTTTTATTTCACAGATAAAAGCAGTAAATATTTTCAAAAAATAAAGCGTAATCAATATAGTATTTTCAATATATGTTTTCTGCGATGTAATCTACATGCTATAGACTTAACAAAAATGGAAATACAAATACAAAATATCTTTTTTACTATTTTGGATTTACTTGAAAATGTGATACAAATTTATGTTCCGCTTTTGTTAACTTTTGAAGTCATATATAATATATAAGATCTTTCCTTTACACATAAAGTAGCGATTTCTACGGTTTTATGTCCTTTAGTAGTGATAATAATAAAATTTATAGTTGGATGTGAAAAAAAAATCATAGAGTAGGTGGTGCATAACGCACCACGTATATAAGATATGGTTTTTGCTTATTACTTTGTCGTTGAAACTTTAAAATTACTCCAAATGATGCGGTAAGAAGATCATCGTTTTCTTAAGACTTCCTGGAATGAACTAAAAAATTTAGAAATATTTAGTATTTAGAAATTGTCAAGCTTAGAAAGAAAGTAAATTTTAGCAACGAATTTGTGGGCGTGTTTAAAAGAATACACTATTTGTAAAACAGCGCGAGCAAAATTCCTCTCATTAGTTTCATGTTTTTACTGAAGGCGCTATTGAATGGAAAAAAAAACTTTTACTTCGAATTTTTGAAATCTGACATTAAAAGAACTGATTAAAAAGTTTTGGAATAATTATTTACCATTAGTGAAACCAACCTGAACTTGTTGATGCCGGATTAGTAAAAAAATAGTATTATATATTACATTAATATATATTATTATATAAAATAGACAATCTATAGCAATTTTCGTATGTAAATGGCCAGGAAGCTTTACAAAAAAGAAATTGTGGGATATACATTATAACTTTTAACACATTGGAATAAAGCTCAAATAAAGAGTTTAATCCAATATCTTTCAATGACATTACAGGAGCTTTTATCTTGATTCTTAATAGGTATCATAATAAAGATTATAAAACTGAAAAGTTTCAAATCGATAAGTTAAAAATTGCAATATTAATGGCAAAATAAAAATATATCCGCAGCATGTACATTTTAATTGGGTTGATTGTGTTTCATTTTTAGTGAAACAACCCGCTTATTACCATTGAATAACTTTGCTAAAAGCTTAATTAAAAGTTTTTGGATAAACTGTGTTTGTTAACTATTAAATAAATCGTATTAAGTAAATAGTTGGGATTAAGTTCGTAGGTAAGCAAAAGCAAATCACAGCAGAAATAAATCATTCCGTTAAACTGTTAAAACTACGTAAATATTTTTTAAAATACGGCCGCTATATTTCGTATTGCTTCGACCATATAGCTATAAGATAATTAATTAACTTTTATAAGAACGCAACATCACTCTCTGAAATCCGAACATAACCATGCCGTACTCACAAACTTGTCCAATTTGTGCTATCAATACTTTGTTCTTTCACGACATTACAGCAAATGTGGCAAACATGAGAACCTAATAGGACTTTAGAGTGATGCGTATATATTTGACATTTATCAAACTGAAAAATAGACTTACACAAATATTTACATGTGAATTTACTAAACAAAATTCACAACATTTTTTGGTACACTCAAATAGCTACAAAGAATGTTTGGGTAATATGTTTAAGTGTACAAGAATTACAGAAAATATAAGATAGCAATTAAGCTACAAGTTGAATTTTGAATAAAACAAACATAAGAAATATATAGCAACATAAGTTGTCAGTTACTGTCTATAGGAAGTGCTTCGTCAACATTTTTTCTATTAAATGTTTCATCTGCGTTATTTCAAAGGAGGATAAACCTATGAGTTTATGAAAATTAACGCTTTGCACCGCTTTTCAAAGAAAATACCTTACATAAAAAGATACATCTAGAAATTAGAGAGACATTAACTCTTTTTTTACCCGCAAATTTAATAGGATTTCGACATATTTTTAGAAAATGGTGTCAACGACCATGTTGTTTGTTGAAAGCCGCTGGATCCAACTTCAGAATTTGCAATTAGAGCTACCATTGGGTAAAAACGAAATTTTAAATCTCGCGCGTGAGTTCCTGACTGTCAACATATGGAGGGCATCTATATGGCTTCGACTATCGGAGACACCGACGTGCGATTAGGGCACCAACCTCGGCAACCGACAAAATACACTTCATTAAATAGGAGCACCCCCTGTTGCAGGTAAAAGAGCTCCGGCGATCGCACAAATGCCGCCCTCTCGAGAATTGCTTCGAAAGCTCGCATCACTCTTGCTCTCGTTTCCTTCACTTTCGATTTCATTGACGTTTTCTGATACCGTTTCTGATATTAACGTATTTAGAGCAAGTTTTTGTATCGCAATTATTAGAGTTTGCCTCGTGTACTGCTTCGTGGGCTGCGTCCCATATCAATTAGTTTTCCGAGACGCGGCAAAAACCCATCCAGTAATAATTAAGGTTGCGACTCTCGTCGTTATTATGGTGACTTGAAAACCCACATACCCGGACGATTTTTGTGGTGTAAAATTAGCATACATCGTCAACCTGTTCGTACGCATAAAACGCTTTTCGAAATAAATTTTTTTTCGACGCAGGTGGGTGTCCACGCGCCAAGACTACCCGAGCAGCTCAAAGCGCGAGCGGCAAGAAAAACACCAAGTTAAAAATATAAAAAGTGTATTTCAGTACGTTTCTCGCAAAACTCGATCCTTACAATACGGGAATATGCAACAATCTTTGAAAAAAAAAATTATATGTACAACTTAACCGTAACTAAACGTAATCAGTACGACAATTTATTTTAACGCGTTCTTAAATTCGAACAAAATTGCTTGCAAACTTCACATTATTTCGGAATAAACTTAGCCTAAACTAATGTAAACAATATTTACAACATGTATATACATAAACGTTGACTAGAAAAACAGTGTGATAGACTCTTCAAAAAAATAAATATCACCTCTCACTGGAATGAAACGAAGGCACTTGGTTCCGAGATTGTGGACGATTTTGGTTATATGCTGGACTGGCCAAAGGACGCGTTCTGGAAAAAAAAGCGCACACGTAAAACTCGCATTAGCATGAAAGAAAAAAACCGTTACATCTCGCGTTGAAAAGAACTGGTATGAAAAAGCGCGCGAGGAACAAATTATATCGAATTTTTCGCGCATTTTTCTTTCACAATGTCTCAGACGGTATTGTTCGCGCGCATAAGAAACTAGTCCCTCCGGACCCCTGTCAAGTTGCATTGAAAAGATCCCGTGCGGTACAAAAAACGAACGGTATTCCGCTCAGGGATAAAAAGGAAATAAGCGGGGTCGCCGCTTTATATCTCAGGTAAACGCAAACAGGTATAAAAATAGGGGTGCCTCGCACTTTAATGCACTCTCGAGTTATGTAAGAGCCTTGGCGAAAAAAAAAATTACCGGGCAAAAAATATATTTGTTTAAAGCGATCGCCGCCCGCATTCCTAGCGGACCGGAAAAATCGACTCGCACGTGCAATAGCTAGCCGGGCGTGGAAACTATACCAACCTTTAACGTAGAGCTTATTCCTGCTGCCAAGAGAAGATCGCGTCCAGCAGTTCCTCGTCCTCCGGACTCTTGGGGTCGTAGTTTTCGTAGTTCTCGGTATGGTGGTATAGGGCGTTCGTGTAGGCGGACGTAGCGGAGAAAGAGCCCTCCGAGCTGTGCGACGGTGTGGGCGAAGCGGATGCTTCCGAGCACGCGGGGGTTGGAAGGAGGATCGGGTACGAGCCGGAGTAGATGTTGGAATCTGGCGAGCTGGCGTAGAACCTTTGGTCGTTAAGCGATTGCGATTCCGCGGACGAATTGCCGAGCTCCTGCTCGTGGTCGTCGATCATCTGCTGCAGGCTTCGGATATATTCTACGGCGAGGCGCAGGGTCTCTACTTTGGATAGTTTTTTGGATGCGCCGCGGCTCGAGTTGCCCTGCGGAGACAGAGCCTGACAAACACTCTGGGGGATGTGCGACCTCAGCGTGGCGAAACCGTTGTTCACTTGTTTCACCCGGTTGCGTTCTCTGGCGTTTCGTCTGGCGACGGAGGCGGGCTGCTGAGGCGGCGCCCCGTACGGCATGAACTGAATTTTCCTCTTGCAACGCAGGTCGTTGTTGTTGGTGACCAAAACCGAGCCCCTTTCCGGTGCCGGCGCTAAGGGTCTCTTCCCGGCGATCGCGGTCGTCTTCTGCGGCTGCGACACGATCACGCAATTCGTCTGGGACACCGAATGCTGGATTACGTTGTACATCTTGTTTTCACCCAGAGTCATAGCCAGAGCCATAAAGTGTCGAGCGAAACGAACCACAACACGTGAGAATGTCAGCGAAAGCACGGGGTTAACTAAAGGCACGGCAGCTTTCGAGGCGGACGGTCGAATGTTTTCGGAAGCTCTAGTGCTTGCGTTTTCTATCGGAGTATCGTATCCCTACCATCGAAGCTTTGGGCTGCCCTGTGCGCGCGCGTAGGGTAACTCGGGCCGTAACGCGTGCCGGCCGAGTACAGACGCGGGTCCGGAAAGAGCCGAATGTTTTTCACCGGGTAGGCAGCAGCTCTGTCGATTCCCTTAGCGAGACGCGGCTCGAGCTTCCGCAGATGCCGGCCGGTGCTTCTGCGGCCGCCGTCGCCAGCACGCGGGACAAAATAATGTCTCGTGCGGAATTTTAATTTTGGCAGCTGTCGCCGGAGCGACTCCCGCGATTTCCCATCCGCACTTGCCGGCGATAGGGAACGACAAGTTTTCTATTTGAATAACCCCCCGTAATTCCGTGGTAGGCGGGGTGCAGTAACTCGCCACGAAAATTATTTAATCTTATTCTAGAACGTCCTTAATGTATTGTACTGAAGCATTTAAGATGCCAAAGGTGCTTTTTAATATTCGTCGTACCGCGGTCAAAAAGTTACGCAGAACACGATGTGGGGTACAATTGTACCCCACTCTAACTCTAACTCTAACGCATATTATATTTATTGGAAAAGTTGATCAAAATAAACAATTTTAAAAAACGTTAACATTCGCATTCGCAACATTGTTGCCTGGCAATCTTTCTTTCTATTGCACAAATAACATCGTCCAGAAACAGGTCGTTCAGGTTCTTCGGAATGGATTTCATGGTGCTTTTCCAATTCCGGTTCTGTTTTAAATCAATGACTCTCCCGAGTTCAAAAGAAATTTTCTTCTGCTGTCTTTGCTTTTTGATTTTTCGTCTGGAAATTTTGCACTCCATAAAATAAATGCATGTGGTGCCGCGACTTCTAATAGCTGTCCAAAAATTGCCATCGGCCATCTATTACTGGTTCGACGAGCTGAATATTCTTTTATCATTTTATCGGTAGTGTCTACAGCACCTTTTGTTTTATCACAATGAGGTATTATGTTAGGCTTGTATGGTCTGTTCGTAGATATAAGAAAGTGACCACTTGCTTTTGCATGGGTTTGTCCAAGGGTGGTCATTAACATACAATGCAACACGATTATTACCTAAAGTTTCGGAATTTAAATTCAGGTAAAATTCTGGTCCGTAATAGAAAATAATTTTATACCTACCTGTGTTTAATATTCTTTGGTTTGGTACACTACTTAGTTTAAGTTTATTAGTAATCATTCTTATTTCGTGTGTAATACAGCGTGTGTTGAATCGTGTGCGAATTGTGCAAAATATATGCAAGTCTACTGTATCTCAGGAGATGCTCACGCCCAAATGTAGAAAACACTATCCTATTGAGACTAAGGAAGTTATAAACAATGTTTATTTGACTCTCATTGAACGTGGTGCCAGCGAGCGAGCATCTTTAGAAGAAACGGCCACATTGACGAAAATCCCAACACCAACTGTATAGAAAAATTTGTGAATAATCCCATTTCAGCGAGGAAAAAAATGAGCGATGTTGACATTTTCTCGAGTGTAGATGAAAGTGATCATATGATGATATGAGGAAGAAAGCGTTCCTACGTTAGATATCTTAATTAAGAGGCTCGAAAAAGATGAAACCGGTGTTAAGTGCGGCAGAACTACCTTATGGAAGTGTATTCAACACATAGGCTTTAGATTTTAAAAAATGGACAGAAGGCAAGTTTTAATGTCTAGAAAAAATTAGGATTTACAGAGAACAACAAAGGCCAATTATTTACTTGGATGAAACGTGGTTCGACACTTATGATACCCCGGAAAAGGGTAGGGTGGACTCAACTGATCAGTGTAAAACAAACGCGCCATCAAAAAGAGGTAAAAAATAATTATTTTGCATGCTGGCTCTAAAGAAGGTTGTATTCCAAATGAACTTTCTCTGTCTGCGAAAAATATTAAAGATTCTTCTCTGGATTACCATGAAGACACCACCTCTGATTTATTTGAAAGTTGGTTTAAAAACAAACTAGTTCCAAACATTCCTCCTAATAGCGTCATTGTAATGGACAATGCAAGTTATCACAGTAGATAGTTGACTAAAACCCCTTCCTCATTTGATTCATTTTCATAAATCAATAATGAAAAAGTTAAATACCACTTCCTAGTTCAAATTCATGAATCCGTAGTACCCTAGTGTACTGTCATCAAATACGAAGTAAGATGCAATGGTATAGCTGCTACAATTCTAAGAAATAAACGAGGAAATAACCAGTATATTCTATCATAACTATGCTGTAAATACTGCTTTTAAATATACATATTTTGAATATACATATTTTTGAGCTACTCGGTATGCTGTAAACACCAAGTCTTGATAAATAACCGAAAATTTGTATAAAAAAAGCCATTAAATTCTAATGTACCACAATATCTTTTCTGTGCTCCCTTCTGTAAAATACACTAATTATACACCGATCTAGCGTGCGGGAACGTCACTTTACCACGTGAGTTTCTTGTCCCACGGATCCGAACCACTTCGGACATTTCCGGGATATTTCCCCCACGGGAGCATAATAGGACTGTTGACAAACAGTGCGTACGTATACACAGTCTAAGCGAATCTTACTCTTCTATGACAATAATTTTCAAACGATGATCGATTTTACGTCAAAATTTAAGTGTTTCCCAGTTAACGTTTTACTGCCTGGGCTATAAACTTTTTAAGGCCATTTCTAACGTCCGTCTTTGTTAGGAAATGCTGCAATTCAAACAAATAATGGCCGCAGTAAATTTATAAAATTGTAGCAGTCCGAATTTCGTCCGTTCAGTTAAAAATCTTAACCCCTAACGTGATGAAACTCGAGGGTCTAATTAAAAGTCGAGGCCATAAATTTCGTCGGTCCGAGTTTTTACCTGCATTCGACTATAGTAAAGATTCGGGGAGGTTGCACTAGATGTCGGTATCTTACTCATCCTACAGATTCAAAGTTTAGTATCTTTAAATCACTAGTATCTCGTTTAGTTATATTATAATTAATACTGCCGTTACTAACACAAAAGTGTAAGTTTGCACTCTTTTATGTAAAGCTGGGGCAAATTCAAATCTTTTTTGTTAGATGCTTTTTACTCTTCCTCTAACAGGAAAGTGGCTTAATATACTTTGTGTGGTTAAAAAGGTTCTTTCTAAACACATTTTTAGAAGTTATTAGATAGTCAAACAAGAACCCAGTGAAACCCACGACTCATTATATTTATCCGTACCTAAAATATGAAATATTGAAATTAAAGTTCAGGCTTTATCTTAGTTTATATTAGTTATTTTTCAATTTGTAATTTAAGGATTATTACTACTTTGTGATATCTTTATCATTTTTTTTATAAAGAATTAGCTTTAGTCATTTATCAATATTGTTTAACTAACTAGTAATTACGGACACTTTAAATATTCAGTAGTAAACCATAAAAAAATTAAAGTAAATTTTTTGACAGAAATTATTCATTCCTAGTTATCGAGATTGTCATGAAAACATTTTTTGTCTCCAGACGTTATTACGACAGTTTCTTTTTTACAAATTTACAATTTCACTAAATGCCATACGCATCTTTCATGTCGTTATTTGATGTTTGTCAAAATCTCTTAATTATCTGCAGTTTCAAATAGTCAGAGTTTATACTTATCCAACCTTTGAGTTTTTTTACTGTGCTTGTGTTTATTGTATTAAAAATGGTATCTAAGCGCATGTGTGGCTGAGGGAGTACACGCAGCAAATTATCCCAATTGTAGAATGGTATTTAGTGTTTCAGGAAACAGGAAGAGTTTATCCCAATCGAGTACTTGGAAAAAAAGAACGATTTAGGAAAACGTCCTGCCTATGTCCACATTAATCCCCATTTAACCTAAAGAAGCATAATTCTGGACTTGGCGAAATTGGCTAAATTCCATGGTAGATGACAATCCTAATTTTTTATCTCGATTACTATGGACCGATAAAGCTACTTTTTCGAGCAATGAAGTAGTCAATTTGCGTAATATACGTTATTGATAGGTGGAGTGTGATCGTTTGGTGTTATATTTTGGGTGATCGAATTATAGGACAATTTTTTTTTAATGGTAAAGTTAATGGCCAAATATATTTTAACCTTTTATCAAACCACTTGCCGTTCCTTTGCAAACGAGAAGAAGAAATTAGTAAATTTTTGGGGCCAGACTTATCCAGGATAGGAAATGGCAGTGTGGACTGCAAGATCTCCAGACCGTACTATCCTGAACTTTCACCTTTGGGGTAAAATAAAAGACTTTGTTTATCAAACTACCCCTGAAAATGTGGTTGATCGTATCCGAACTGTTGTAGTCAACCTTTCGGGAGCTGAAATCAGTACAGCCGTATTAAATACATACATATTAAATGCAATAAGTAGAAAAAAATCATGGATAGAAAATAATAGATTTTTCTTTCAATTTTGTTGTACTTTATCGTTATCAACGTTTATGTTCCATAATATTCGGATAGCATTATTAATTGACAAGATTGGCGTTGAGTTAGGATAAAGATATTGAAATACGGTAGATTTTTTTTTAAATGATTTTTTTGCCAATATATCAGAAAACGCCATATAGCGGTAGGGTATGCAATTGCAATCATCTCACTGGTGACACGTTTTATAGCCTAGGAAAGGCCCTTTTTACCTACTCCGCATGTGTTAAAATCCTTTTGGAGATATAGTAAAAAGCGTCAAACACAAAAAAGGTTTTAATTTGTCACAAGCTTTTCTCTTGGCAGATTAACTTAATTTTTTTTTCAAATTTTTTGAAACATCCGTTTTCCCAATGCCGTGCCTCGTTTCACTTACTGAGACAACCAGTATACTAAAATTTTTTGATCGTAATCCAGAAAATGGAAATGTCCAAAATTAAATTAACCCGATATTTTTTAAAATCCTTACTTTGACAATTAATATACTCCTTTTTTTTTTCACTTTGTTTCTACCTAAGTTTAAAAAAAATCTAA